CAATATTCATGAAAAAAATATAATAATAATTATAATTTATTATTATTATTATTGTATGTATGTATTATGTGATGTATAATATTTTTGGTGTGTGGCGGGGGGGTCCCGTCTCCTTCCCCCTCAGCAGACATCGCATACGTTTGCTTGCTGCACTGGTCTGCACTGGTCTGGTCTGCACTGGTCTGGTCTGCACTGGTCTGGTCTACACTGGTCTGGTCTACACTGGTCTGGTCTGCACTGGTCTGGTCTGGTCTGGTCTGGTCTGGTCTGCACTGGTCTGGTCTGGTCTGGTCTACACTGGTCTGGTCTGGTCTGGTCTGGTCTGGTCTACACTGGTCTGGTCTACACTGGTCTGGTCTGGTCTGGTCTGGTCTGCACTGGTCTGGTCTGCACTGGTCTGGTCAGTCGCTCCGGTTGCTGCATTTATATTGGACGTATTTGTGGAATAAAATACAATTTAAAGGCCAAATGTTTATATTTAAAGGTCTCCGGATGTAAATTAAAAACCCCCCAACATGTTATTCAGCTTTGTACAGGGCAGGAAAGGGTGAGTTTTGAGTCTCATTTCGGTTTTTAATGCCATCGCCCCCATTTGGGGGGAATTCCTCTGACTTCCTCTCCGGACAGGAAGTGATAAGAAATCCCCCCAACAGGGACACAAGGGAAGGGAAGGCTTTGAGCCTCCGACAATGTTGCTGTCCCAGTGCCTTGGTTTCTGGCGTTGTTACCACCTACCTTGGGGTCATACTCATCTTCTTAGGACAGGGGATGCCCCTACTACTGCATCAGGGCTGGTGGGAGCTCCTCATAATGGGTACAGCGGGTGTACAGACCCGGGAACTCAGCACAGGGATGGTGGGAGCTCCTCATAATGGGCACAGCGGGTGTACAGACCCGGGAACTCAGCACAGGGATGGTGGGAGCCCCTCATAATGGGCACAGCGGGTGTACAGACCCGGGAACTCAGCACAGGGATGGTGGGAGCCCCTCATAATGGGCACAGCGGGTGTACAGACCCGGGAACTCAGCACAGGGATGGCGGGAGCTCCTCATAATGGGCACAGCAGGTGTACAGACCCGGGAACTCAGCACAGGGATGGTGGGGCCCCTCATAATGGGCACAGCAGGTGTACAGACCCGGGAACTCAGCACAGGGATGGTGGGAGCCCCTCATAATGGGTACAGCGGGTGTACAGACCCGGGAACTCAGCACAGGGATGGTGGGAGCTCCTCATAATGGGCACAGCGGGTGTACAGACCCGGGAACTCAGCACAGGGATGGTGGGGGCCCCTCATAATGGGCACAGCAGGTGTACAGACCCGAGAACTCAGCACAGGGATGGTGGGAGCCCCTCATAATGGGCACAGCAAGTGTACAGACCCGGGAACTCAGGTTGGAGATCTCGGTGATAGAGTCCCTATGGGACAGAAGAGACTGCAGGGGGGTTTATTTCTCCAAGTTGTGTTCCTCTGGAATGGGGGACCCGGCACACATCACCATGTCTTGTTATCCATGTATTCTTGTCTTTATAACGCTGTTTCCTATTTTTTCCCCCGACCTCAGCACTTTCTCCTATCCTGGCCATTGAAGTTTTCACTGACCGGGAGATCCATGGCACCGTCGGGTCAAAGGTCCATCTGTCCTGCACATTCTGGTCCAGTGAATGGATCTCAGACGACATCTCGGTGAGCTGGCACTACCAGCCTGACAACAGCCGGAGCACATATTCGGTAAGGGCGCCACCAGACTTTCCAACATGGCGGTGCATTGTCAGTTGGGGAGCACAGTCTTTCCCAGAGACTGGTTCTCATGGGGGGGGCTATATGTGTCATAGAGGACATCCCATCCACTACTAATGGACCCCCCCCCCCCTCAATGTATGTCAATGCACATCACATGACCCATCAATGCACCACACAACATAGATGTGAATGTGTTGACGGAAGATAGGTCAAGTATGTTTTTGGTCCATGGGGGTCCAAAGACAATGAACGGGCCCATGCAAGTCAATGTACGTGTCCTGATGACATCCTATGTTTTTCTAATGACCCACCAATGTATGTCAACAGAGCAGACCATGCACTTGACCCTTCAACTCACCCCAAACCATTGATGCAAATACACACTTGGTCAACTAGGTTTTTGGTCCATGGAGGCACCTTGAGGGTCCATAGAAAATGACTAGGCCCAAAAATTGTGTCAATGGGCCCTAAAGTCCCCATTCTTTTCCCTCTTTAGATATTCCACTACTCCAAGGGAGAGGCCCATTTAGACGAAACGGGCAACTTCAAAGACCGCATCGAGTGGGTCGGATATCCAAGAAGCAAAGATGGATCCATCGCCATCCTTAACCTGGACTACAGTGACAATGGGACATTCACCTGTGACGTGAAGAACCCTCCGGATGTGGTGGGGAAGTCTTCCTATGTCCACCTGCTTGTCTTTGACAAACGTGAGCTTCTAGATACTTTGGGACCCACCTGAGATTAGCTCAACTCCAGACAGAATTTTTGTTTTTCAGTTTTGGATAGATTTGGAATGAGTAGATACTTCAGTAGGGTCAAGGTGGTCGGGGTTCATGCATAGAAGGCATTAGAGTTCCTATTCTTAATGTCCAGTGTTATTAATGACCTTTAATGAAGCTGAATCTCTTTGGTGAGGCGGGTTCATCATACAGGTACTAGAGAAAATATAAGTAAGAATTCAAAAATTGTCCCAAAAAATAGAGCATAGTTTCCTTTTAAAGGAAGTCTCCAAAAGGCCCAAGGGATCGTGGGATGGCTTCTCCCTTCAACATCTACTGAACATGGACCGTTCAGGTTGAGTGACCCGTGCCTTGATCTTCATGTGCTTTTTGCTCTCATAGCTCCAGTCCGTGCCGGGATGGTCCTTGGTATCATCATCGGAGCCGCGCTGCTCCTGGTCATCATTGTGGCCCTCCTGGTGTACCTCATCCGTTACTGCTGGCTGAGACGACAGATCCGAGTACAGAGGGAGCTCAGGTAGGTCAAAAGCATTAGATGTTCACTTTCCTCCCTAAGGGGGCTAGGTGTCAAGCTTACCCCGTTATCGACTGGCAAAGTTGTACTATTGGTGGGCGGATGGCCATGTGTGACCACATCCTGGCCCAGTGTGAACTTCGAGGATCTGGCCATGGATGTGTTCCCTACCAGGAGATGATGAGTCCTCCTGATTGGTGTTGTCATTATGGCTTATGGAGATTGTCTATTGTCCATCAGGTCAAGAAGCTACATGGTGACATTCCATAGCATAGCTTGAAGGTGGGGCAGATGCCTTACCAAATCTTTCAAGTAGACATCTGCTGGTCTGTGGGTAGTCTACGTTAGTTTATAGTAAATGTACCAACTGATCTGGGTAGGGGGTGACAGAAGGGTATCCCTTACTATATCATAGCTGGCCCAAGGGGGACCTTTCTCGGGGTTGTAGATACTTCAGAAGAAGAACAACCCTGTAGGAGGCCCTCTTTGACGTCTTCCCATAATCTTCATTCCTGGAAACAGCTGGTGGGGTGTAGTCACACGGGTACTACCATGAAAGAGAAAACCGCTCAATGGTTATTGGCCACCTTAATCCCCTGCTGTAGGTAACAGTGCCCCAAAAGTAGCTCCATCTTCCTAAAGTAACTTCAGGAAACTCTGAGGAACTAGCCGGTGGGACCTTGTTTCACACTAACCATAAAAAAAGGCGATTGTCCCAATTTCGCGATGGTCTTCTTCACCTCATCTCTCGTTCTTCTTTGCAGTGCCCTGGAACGAGGAAAACTGCACAAGCTATCGAAAGGCTCCAAAGGCTCACGACAGGTAAGAAGCAATGTGAGTTCCCGTTTAATAAAAACTGTGGCCCTTGTGCAGCAGAAAGGCATCTTCCCTTTAAAATATGCAGGCCGCTCCTTTCTTCCAGGCCCCGCTCCTCTCCATGCTGGACCAGACCCGCGGCTTCAAATCCGCCAGCGACAAGAAATCCAAAGGCCTGGGCGACTCCCGCAAGGATAGGAAATAGCAATTAGCCGGCAGGGAAGGTACACAAAAGGCAGACGACGACTCCCCCCGCAGCTCTAAGGTGATCTACACCATCGAGATGGAACTGAGGGGGGACGAAGGTGGGGACAAGCCCCACCGAGCCGCTGTGAAGTCTCCTAGCAAAAACAGCCTCAAAAACGCCTTAAAGAATTTAATCAGAAGCGACTCAGAGAAACACCCCTAATCAACCAGAGACAGCCGGGGACCTGGGAGGAGTGACGTCCAATGTGGAACCAAGACGGGTCAAGTCAACCATCTTGTTCCTTGTCCATTCTCTAATCGGCAGCCTTAGCTGGAATTCCGTCACGGCACAAAGAAGGCCAAGAAAACAGAAAAATATGTCTTCATCAAGGGGAGTCCATCAAAAGCCCCATGTGATTATTTCAGGCTAAGCTTCTACAAAAAGTACTTGTTGTCATTATTCCACCAGTTTGGTCAACAGCAGGCCATCAGATCCACCATCTCCACATTCCTAATGCCAACAAGATGGATGCTGTTGTTGGTCCTCTCGTAAGAGCTTCTCATTTCACTCTACGTAGGGCTACAATTGCTACACCACTCCAGAATGGCCATTCAGTCCACTTTTTTGACCACACACAAGGACATTCGTTCAGTTCCTTGCTATCATTTAAGGGTTCAGCTATAGTTGCTGCTTTGAATCATTCCGAAAAGGCTCCAACTTGATGAACAGTCTTGACATTGGCCATTGGGTTAGGCTTGACTCCATTATGACGTCCAAGCTCCCTCAATTCCCCCCTTGTTGGCCAATCAATGAATTTTAGACACACACAAGGACATTCATTCAGTTCCTTGCTAACATTTAAGTGTTCGGTTATAGTTGCTGCTTTGAATCATTCCAACTTGATGAACAGTCTTGACATTGACCACATGGTTAGGCCTGACTCCATTATAACCCGAGAGCATTCTTCCCAGGTCCCCAGCAGTTCTCATGGTGCGTCTATTGCCTTTTTTATAAATAACAATCTGTGTTATACGTAGAACCATCGTGTACCTTTTTTTTCCCTGCTGGAAACTAGCAAGAACTCTCCGAGAAACCAAGAATGAAAACAGAAGTCCTATTAGATACAGGGACCTCCACCCCAAGTCTCTTGCCCCCCCCCCCCCCCCCCCG